ACACATGATTCTAAGCCAGAGAGTGACAAAGACAATGATTAACAAAGGAGGAATGGAAAATGATTTCTGTATCATCAACTCCCATGGTTCCACTGGGAGCATTACATCATTTTGTTAAAATTAAAAAAAAAATGAAACTTCATCTGTGCCTCATCTGATGTTCATAATGTATCTAATGAATTTACTAGTCTTTCATGACAATAGTACTCAACAATGTAGAAATAGGAGGAAGTGACTGCAATATAATAAAGGTCATATTTTGCAAGTCTACCTCTAACATCATAGTCATCAGTGAAAAAGATCAAGAAAAAAAGCCAAGGATGCCCATTATCAACATTTCTGTTCACCTTAATACTAGAAGTCCTAGCCAGGGGTTTAGGTTAGAAATGGAAACAAAAGGCTTCCATTTGGAAAGAAAGAAGTAAAATTATGTCTGTTCACAGGGCCATGGTTTTATGTGCAGAAAACTCTTTAAATCCACACACACCAAGAACCTGCACAGAAAATTTCACGGTACAAAATCAACATTCAAATATCTTTCCATGCATGAAGAATGACTATTCCACAAAGGAAAATAAGAAAACAATCCTATTTATTTTTTATTTTTTTAAAGCTATAGTCAAGAGCTAAATTAAAAAAATATATATTTATTTTTATTTATTTGTTTGTGCCAGGTCTTTGTTGTGGCATGTGGGATCTAGTTCCTTGACTAGGGACTGAACCCAAGTTCTCTGCATTGGGAGTGTGCAGTCTTAGCCACTGGACAAAGAATCTTATAATAGCATTGAAAAGAATGAAGTAATTAGAAATAAACTTAAGGAGATGAAAGGCTTATATGTTGAAAACTACAAAATATTGCTGAAAGGAATCTGACATAAATAAATAGATAGGTGTCTCATGTTTATGGATTTGGAGGCTTAATATTATTAAGCTGTTCATACTACCCAAAGCAATTTAAAGATTCAATGCAATTTCTATTAAAATCCCAATGGAATTTTTTCAGATATAGAAAATCCATCCAACAGTTAACACGGAATCTCAGAGCACCCCAAATAGGCAAAGCAATCTTAGAAAGAAGAGCAAAGCTGGAGGCCTCTGATTTCAGAACATACTACAAAGGTACAGGAACCAAAAGAGTGTAGATTTGGCAAAAAATGAGTGCTTAGTCGCTCAGTCTTCTTGACTTTTTGTGACCTTTTGGACTGTAGCCCACCAGGCTCCTCTGTCCAGGGCATTTCTCAGGCAAGAATAGTGGACAGGGTTGCCATTTCCTTCTCCAGGGGATCTTCTTAACCCATGGATTGAACCCGCATCTCCTGTGTCTCCTGAACTGAAGGCAGATTCTTCACCTGCTGAGCCACTGAGGAAGCTGGCTGGCATAAAGACAGATATGTCAATCAATGGAACAGAATAGACAGCCAGAAATAAACTCTTGGATACATGGTCTAATGATCTTCACCTAGGGTGTCAAGATAATGGGGATAATTTAATCCCTGTAATGAATGGTGCTGGGGAAACAAAATAACCATATGCAAAATAATGAACATCTTACATCTTGAAGAAAAAGCAACTCAGAATGGATTAAAGACATAAATGCAAGACTTGATAAGACTTAGAAGAAAACAAGGGTAAAGCTTCATGACATTGAATCAGCAATGATTTCTTAGATATGGTACCAAGTGCACAAGTATTAGTAACAAAGTAAAAATAGACAAATGAGATTAATCTTCAAACCTCTGAGCAGCAAAGGACACTGAACAGAGTTGAAAAGGCCACCTATAGGATGGTAGAAAATATTTGTAAAATATGCATCTGATAAGGGGTTAATAAGCATACACCAGTATGAAGGCGACCTATAAGCCAGGAAGAGAACCTGATTGACCATGATGGCACATTGATATCACATTTCTATGCTCCAGCATTGTAAGAAAACAAATTTCTGTGGTATAAGGAATGCAGTCCGTTTTGTTATGGCAGTGTGAGCTGACTAACAGTTAGAGAAGGAATTGAACAGACATTTCTCCAGAGAAAATACACAAATGGCCAACAAACATATGAAAAGATGCTCAATGTTACTAATCAATAGGGAAATACAAATTGAAACCTTCTGTGATGGGCAATATGTATAAGAAGACAATAGCAAGTTTGGTAAGGATATGGATAAATTGGAACCCTTATACACTATTGTTGGCAATGTAAAATGTTGCAAGCTTTATAGAAAACAGTATGGAGTTTCCACAGAAAATCAGAACTGCTGTATGATCTAGCAATCCAACTCAAGAGTGTATTTCCATAAAAAATTGAAAGCAAGATATTGAATAAATAGTGGGCACATGTATGGTCATTGCCACACTATTCCCAATGGGCAAGATGTGTAAGCAATCTAAATGTTCATTGGTGGATAAAAGATAAAGATTATATATAAAATATATGTTATAGCTCTTATATCCACATGCACACAATGGAATTGTTTTGAAGCCTTAAAGACGAATTCTGTCCTATGCTCTGGCATGGATAGGACTTGATGATATTATACTAAGTGAAATGAACCAATCAAAAAAGACAAATATCGCCTGATTCTACTTCTATGAGGTATCTAAATTAATCAAATCCATGGAAATAGAAAATATAACCATGGTTGCCAAGGGCTGTGAGGAGGAAGGATTGGAGAATTGTTACTTAGTGGGTTAGGGCTTCAGTTACGGAAGAGGTAACATTTCTACAGATTTGTTGTACAGCAATGTGTATATATATCCCCGGTGGCCCAGTGGTAAAAAATCCACCTGCAATGCAGGAGATGCAACAGATGCAGGCTCAATCCCTGGGTTGGGATGATCACCTGTAGCAGGAAATGGCAACCCACTCCAGGATTCTTGCCTAGAGAATCCCATGGAGAGAGGAGCCTGATGGGCTACAGTCTGTGGGTACACAGAGTCAGACATGACTGAGTGATTAGCACTATGGCCACTACCACTAACGTGTACATAGTTAGCAACAGTGTGCCATACACTCAAATTGTTAAAAAGGTTAATAAATACGTGCAGGCGTATGGTGAACCTAGGCGTATGTATTCCCTATGAAGAATCTCTCTTCATGTAAAAACCTTTGCAGACAACCAAATGTTTGGTTTTCATGTCCCTTTCCCTAGTTTTAATAACCTCAGGGAACAGAGGGACTTCCCTGGTGCACAGTGGATGAGAATCTGCCTGCCAATGCAGAGGACACAGGTTCGATGGCTGGTCCAGGAAGATTCCACTTTCTGCGGGGCAGCTAAGCCTGTGTGTCACAAACTACAGAGCCTGCATGTGTTCTGCAACAAGAAGACACTCACGGCAACCAGAGAAAGGCCGTGCACAGCAACAAAGACCCTGTGCAGTCAAAACTAAATAAATAATTTTTAAAAATCTGGGAGAACAGAAATCCATAGATGGAGAATCATAGAACTATCTAAATTGTTTTCTCCATTCATGCAGATTAACTCTTCTAAACTGTTTGAGCACCAGAAGAGGAAGTGAGCTGCTCACTTCTATTTTATAATAAGTGTACTTCATTTTATTTACCTGATGCCATCTCTGGTCAGTGAAATGTGGCAAAGATCATGGAGAATAAATAGTTCTCTGAACCCTTTCCCAGAATCAAAATAAAGAATTAGTTTAACCTTAGGATAAGAAGATAATGGGTTTTATTTTATATACATACATAAATAATGTATCTTGACATAATATGTTAATCATTGCCTCTTTGAAGATATTTAATCCAATAACCAATGAGATTAGTATTAAATCTGTTTGGTGAATTTATTTCTAAGGTTTCTTTAACTGCCTTTCACTAAGAATGTTTAGCAAAAATAATTCTTTTTAAAAAGAATGAAAAATTTTAACCGTAACACTGTTGAGAATTACACTGGAAAACCTATACATTCATCTTCATTGAGTCTTATGTAAATATTTGGCCACAACCACTTTGAAATGCTGAAAATTATGTTTTCTTTGCTACTGGCTGAGATGTAGTTGAGACCTAAGCCTAGGCTGGTTTCAGGAAGATACCCCAAATCCTCCTGGCCCCTCACCTTGCTGCCTTGGTGTCCATTCTTCATCAGAATCCTCAGTGTCTTCTACCTGGGGTTTGATGACCTGCCTGCGGTGATGCATGAAATCTGGTTGAGTGGCTCTGAAACCTGGAAAGAAGCAAAATATTTGTTCTAAGAAGGAGGAACAAAGCATAGAAGCAATGGAGAGTGTCACAAAGTCAAGGAACTCTGTAGGATGGGCTGGGAGAATCTAGAATAAGGCAAGAGGTGAGCTCTGCACTGCAGGGTCAACCTCCCTTTGGTACAAAACTAAACATTGCCTCCAGCTTAGTCTCCACACAAAAGGGAACTGTGAGCAGATGAAGCCACCTAAGAGCGGGCCAAGTGAACAGTGAGGGTGAAGACCTGCTTCATGTTTCCCAGGCTCACAGGCACCCAGCTCTTCCTGTTACCTATAGCAATCAGCGCTTCGTAGTTTCTTTTCACATTCCTATATCGGATTTTTTCCCATTCTCCCATCTCTTCCCATTCTTCCATGGAGAAGTATACGGAGATATCTTTGAAAGCATCTTTGGCCTAAGGAAAATAATCGATTTCATCAGTGATTTACTAATCTAAGTCAGACCTTAGAGCTGGGCCTTCTCCTCCACCTTTTGTGCAGGGAGTAGCCTGAAGCACCTGGATGGTCTGTGTGACACAGGGATGAAGACTTTCCTTCCCGACTGTGTCCTGCTTAACTGAACAAACCCTGAGCATTTTCCAACTCAGAGCAGTTGACGGAGCTAGTGTCCTGTTCTGTCCCATTCCACCCCACCATCTCAGACAGGACCAGGCATTCCCATCCTGTGTACAGTCACAGGGAAGTTCACTCAGCTGCCCAGGCAACCAGTCTGTGATGCTTCAGGGACCAGCGCTGTGTCCTTCCTATAGAGCTGGCGTAGAGCCCAGCTTTGCCGCCTCCACCTCTCACCATGGGCTTCCACTCTGTTCTCCCAGCATCTCCCTCAGTGCTCTCCTCTGGAGACCTCTTCGGCCTCATGGCCATTGGAGTGCTCAAGACCAAGGTCCCTGTGGAAGAAAGAGGTGCTGAGACAGTCAAGACCACTGTCCAGAGCCTGGTCTGTCTTCCTTGGGTGGAGAGTCCAGGGTAGTAAGGTGAGGGGAAAGTCAGGGTGAGGATATTGGTGGGATGGACAGATCCTGACTAGATATAACATATCAGCCTAATGTGAACTAGATTTGGTTTCTTTGGTTCCCCTACAATTCAGCCCCTCTGAGGGAAGGCAATGGGAGGGAAGGGTCTGTGGGTGACGGAGGGATTCTTGAGGAGACCCGGAAACCCCTAACTGCTGGATTGGGGTCAGGCTGAGATCAGGGCTCTGTTCCAGTGCAGCAGAGGGAATGTTTCTCCAAGAAGGGTTTTGAGGATCTCCTCCTGGGGACTCAGAAAAATCTGGGCATAATGCAGGTTCTACCTCTAAGGGACAAGTCGTTCGGCTTGAGGAGATCTGGGTCCCACGGGCTGAAGGAACTGGGATCCTCAGACAGAGTGGACTGGGGATCGTTTGGCTGATGTAGAATGCTCAGGGTCAGAAAACTCGGGAACTCTGAGGCTGAGGAAATCGGGGGTTTCTTATTAAGGGACTTTAGGTCTCTGAAAGGCAGGACAGTTAGGGTCTTGAGGAGGAAGAGTTTTAACAGCTCCCAGGCGGAGGTATTCAGCGTCTCCGAGGTTGAGGTAATTTGGTCTCTCTGCGGGTGCTATTTTTAGGGTGCCTCAGACTGAGGGGAACTGGGGTTAATCTAGGTCTTTGAGGGTCGCAGCACTAGGGGTTTCAGGGTTTCTGTGGGTGAAGGGACTTGTAATCCCTGAAGCTGACGAGACCAAGCCCCCTTCAGATTAGGACTCAGGTTACTCAAAGTTGACGGGATTTCGGGCCTCCCACCCTGGAATTTGAAGCCATCAGGCTAAGGGTTTACGACGGCTGTGCAGGACACCTTCCCGTCAGCCTCCCCACTGTCCTGCCGCGCTGCCCACCCTGTCCCCAGGAGTGCTAGAGGTTCAGCGACGTCCTGTCCTTCGGCGCTGAGGTGAAGTGAAGGGCCAGCAGCCTGCCTGTACCCTGTCAGGCACAAGCGACCAATCGGCGTTGTGACTGAGGCAGTCTGGCCAATAGGCTCCCGGAGGGTGGGGAGCGCTATGGAAGCCCCGCCCCACCGCTCGGGGATTGGCTGCTCTGTGGGCGTGTCTGTCAGCCTCCAGCGCGCAGGCGCATCTTGGCTGGTTTCTTTGTTTTCAGGCATGGCCTCTCAGGCCTGGATCCTCAAATGGGCGGGTTGTCCTCAGGCTTAATGTTTCTTTCCAGTGCCCTCAACGGGTATATCGGGTCCACCAGACTGTAACCGTGCTCCCAGACTTTGTCCTAGGCCCACCTGTGCCCTACCTTATCAAATCCAGTTTTGGCAAGAACTCTTATGTGATGAGTACTGCATTATTCAAGGGAAAACGGTGTAATTAACTACATTCTGATGAGACACAAGATAAACACCGTGTGGTCAAAGATTTAAACACAACACATGGAATAAGTATGTTAGAAAAAACTTGGAGGATTTTTAACCTGAAAGTAGAGGTGACACTGATGAGCTATCTGTGTATTTAATGTAGGTATGAAAAGCCTTCAGAAATGAGGTATAAAGAAAACCTCAAAGCCTTGCAAGTGTTTTCTGTAAGCCGAGGCATCGATCTGGAGGACTGTGAATCCCCTGAGCTGAGTTTGCCTGACACCTACTGGCTTCACAAGATAAAATAGGGACACTGTTTCTGGCCCTTAGGTAGCTTTGCTCACAGAAAAATAATGTGATTTCCATGTATTGGAAGCAAAGCGACTCACTGTAGAATTAGTATCAAGTGGTGGTTGGGAGTCTGGATGGAGAACTGTTACCAGAAAAGTGAGTTTACCTCTTGGTGAATGTAGAGCCAGAAGGTACAACCCAGCCAAAGCTCATGGGAAGGAAAAGTGTATTACTTGCAGAACTATGGAGAACACCATGGAGCTTTCCAGAGCAGTGTCACTGTAAACCACAAAGTTGGGTAAGCTTTAATCTATGAGTACAGGTGTGTTCCGGCTTCTGTGGTGACTCAGATGGTAAACAATCTCTGCATAGCAGAAGACCCGGGTTCAACCCCTAAGTGAGGAAGATCCCAAGAGGAGGGCGGGGCGGTCCACTCCAGTATTCTTGCCTGGAGAATCCCACGGACAGAGGAGGCTGGTGGTCCGTGGGGTTGCAAAGAGTCAGACATGAGTGAGTGACTAACACGTTAACTTTACAGGCATGTTCGTTAAGGGTCTTGGGCTGTGGGAGACTCCAAGCTTCAGTTGATTGAAGTCTTGAGAGTCAGAACCAGTCACCATCAGCATCCCTTACATTCCAGCTGGTCTGGTATACATATAGCTATCTATTCTTGATATAGATATAGATACCTATTCTTCTTCATATTCTTTCCCCTTATCAGTTCAATTCAGTCACTCAGTCGTGTCTGACTCTTTCCAGCCCCATGGACTGTAGCACGCCAGTCCTCCCTGTCTATCAGTAACTCCCGGAGTTTACCGAAACTCGTGTCCATTGAGTCGGTGATGCCATCCAACCATCTCATCCTCTGTCGTCCCCTTCTCCTCCTGCCCTCAATCTTTTTCAGCATCAGGGTCCTTTGAAATGCATCAGCTCTTCATATCAGGTGGCCAAAGCATTGGAGTTTCAGCTTCAACATCAGTCTTTCAAATGAACACTGAGGTCTGATCTTGTTTAGAATGGACTGGTTGGATCCCCTTGCAGTCCAAGGGACTCGAGTCTTCTCCAACACCACAGTTCAAAAGCATCCGTTCTTCAGCAGTCAGCTTTCTTCACAGTCCAACTGTCCCATCCATACATGACCACTGGAAAAACCATAGCCTTGACTAGGCAGACCTTTATTAGCAAAGTAACATCTCTGCTTTTTAATATACTGTCTAGGTTGGTAATAACTTTGCTTCCAAGGAGTAAGTGTCTTTTAATTTCATGGCTGCAGTCATCATCTGCAGTGATTTGGAGCCCCCTGAAATAAAGTCAGCCACTTTCCCCGTTTATTTGCCATGAAGTGATGGGACCAGATGCCATGATCTTAGTTTTCTGAATGTTGATCTTTAAGCCAACATTTTCACTCTCCTCTTTCACTTTGATCAGGAGGCTCTTTAGTTCTTCTTCACTTTCTGCCATAAGGGTTGTGCCATCTGCATTGCTGATATTTCTCCTGGCAATCTTGAATCTAGCTTGTCCTTCATCCAGCCCGGTATTTCTCATGACATACTCTGCATAGAAGTTAAATAAGCAGGGTGACAGTATATAGCCTTGATATGCTCCTTTTCTGATTTGGAACCAGTCTGTTGTTCCATGTCTGGTTCTGACTGTTGCTTCTTGACCTGCATACAGATTTCTCAAGAGGCAGGTCAGGTGGTCTGGTATTCCCATCTTTTGGGAATTTTCCACAGTTTATTGTGACCCACACAGTCAAAGGCTTTGGCATAGTCAATAAAACAGAAATAGATATTTTTTTCTGGAACTCTCTTGCTTTTCGATGATCCAGTGGATGTTGGCAATTTGATCTCTGATTGCTCTGCCTTTTCTAAAACCAGCTTGAAGATCTGGAAGTTCACAGCTCACGTATTGTTCAAGCCTGACTTGGAGCATTTTGAGCATTATTTTGCTAGTGTATGAGACGAGTGCAATTGTGCAGTAGTTTGAGCATTCTTTGGCATTGCCTTTCTTTGGGATTGGAATGAAAACTGACCTTTCCCAGTCCTGTGGCCACTGCTGAGTTTTCCAAATTTGCTGGCATATTGAGTGCAGCACTTTCACAGCATCATCTTTTAGGATCTGAAATAGCTCAACTGAAATTCCATCACCTCTACTAGCTTTGTTTGTAGTGATGTCTCCTAAGGCCCGCTTGACTTCACATTCCATGATGTCTGGTTCTAGATGAGTGATCACACCATTGTAATTATCTGGTTCATGAAGATCTTTTTTGTACAGTTCTTCTGTGTTTTCTTGCCACCCCTACTTAATATCTTCTGCTTCTATTAGGTCCATACCATTTCTGTCCTTTACTGAGCCCATCTTTGCATGAAATGTCCTCATAGGCGTTAAGTTTTAAGGTTGCTATTGCAGGGAATGTCCACAAGGTGTCAGGACCTTTTCATGACCCGTTGTGATTACCTTGAAAGTGAAAACGTTCAAGTTTTAATTCTAGACTGTAATTTAATATGGAATGTAGCTGAAGAAACACCCAAAAGCTTGTGTGTTCTTTCTGAACATTCTTATTTATTTATTTTAATAAGTTTTTTTTATTTACTGGCAATGCCATGTGGCACATGGGATTTTTAGTTCCCTGACCAAGTGTTGAACCCTCGCCCCATGCATTTGAAGCACAGAATCTTAACCACTGGACTGCAGGGAAGTCCCCCTAAGCATTATTTTTTTTAAAGTAACCTTTTTAAAGTGACCTTTATTTCATATTGTAGTAACATTGATATACCATGTGTTGTTGGTGGCAGGTGAACCAAGTGTATTTTGTATTTTGTTGTTGTTCAGTTGCCAAGTCAGGTCTTTTTGTAGGAGCATTCCCTTTTCTACAGGCCCTGTTATATTGGTAAGACATCTATTTGTATATACATAAGTGTACATAAATGTAAATATCTAGGTACATAGATGTGTAAATGTCCAGATAGAGATATAAATGTCTAGGTATGTAGATATACAAATGTCTATATGCATAGAAATATACATTGTACATACATAGATGTAGAAATACGTAGGTTCATAGAGACATAAATATCTATATACATAAACATAAATATATATGTACATATAGACATAACTATCTATTCAAAACAGAAAAAGAGACACAGATGTACAGAACAGACTTTTGGACCCTGTGGGAGAAGGCGAGGGTATGATGTTTCAAGAGAACAGCATCGAAACATGTATTTTGTCTAGGGTGAAACAGATCACCAGCCCAGGCTGGATGCATGAGACAATTGCTCGGGCGGGCCTGGTACACTGGGAAGACCCAGAGGAATTGGGTGGACAGGGAGGTGGGAGGGGGTATCGGGATGGGGAACACATGTAAATCCATGGTTGATTCATGTCAATGTCTGACAAAAAACACTACAATATTGTAAGGTAATTAGCCTCCAACTAATAAAAATAAATGGAAAAAAAAAGAAATATACATTCTAGGTACATAGATGTATAAATACCTAGGTTCATAGAGACATAAATATCCATATACATAGACATATAAATATATATGTACATATAGACATAGCTATCTATGTATATACAGACATAAATATCTATTATAGATACATATAGGCATAGATATCTATATACATAGACATGTAAATATCTGTATACACAGAGGATGGTTACACAGTGGACAATGAAGGAGACCACCTTATAGACAAAATAAGTGATACAGATAGTGGCATTTATAAGAGCATACTAGGAGAGAGAAACATAAACAATTCCAAACAAAGAGAACACAGCTAAGCAAGATGCATGTGAGTAGTTTTAATCTGAGGGCACTAAACCAGCAAGTCCACAGGGGCTCAGTAGATGATGGCAAAGTCTGGAGGGTGAGATAGTGAAAACAAGTTAAATGTTTCATCTTTGTTTACAAAGTATACCTTATAAATTTCTGGATTCATACTTGTTACCTCCTTAAGTATGTATCATCCTATATATCCTCCTGTGCCCACATTCAGACTGTTCCAACTCAAATCAAGCACAGCTCCAACTTGTTGCAACTCTAGTTAGTCAATTTTTGAAATTTCATGAAAAAGACACATTGTGATTCTTTTGTATAGACCAGTAATGGTTAGGATTTCTGTCTAATGTTTTTTTTTTGTTGTTGTTAGGGTCCTTAGAGATCATTTAAAATTTCAACACTTCTCTCCGCTTCACCTTGCTCTGATTCAATTGACATTGGAAAAGTTATGGAAAGAGTGTTTAATATAATTTGAACTCACCAGGTATCTATTGTTCGGTGTACATGAAGATCTGAGAAGTAGACTTTGATGGGTGTAAAAATAAATATTGTGGATATAGAACATAATTAGAAATTGCGAGAGTCATTTGACCAGAGAGCAATCACAGTGGATCCACTTCATCTCCCACACCCATGAGGACAAGTTCATCTTGGTAATAATATCAGCAACTGAAGAGTTAAACTGTTATCACTGTGAAAAATGATTATGAAAAGACATCTATGGAATGTTTTCATAGATAGGATGCAACTCTCTAAGAGGCTTTAAGTTTCAGGTGAATGTTTTATTATTTGAAATCTTGAGTGGATTACAGACTCTGTAAGTTTTACAGACTGTTCAAAGTTACATTCTCTTCCATCCTGGACTGAATCCATTACCTTTTGGTTCATGCACTTGTGACGGACTTAATCAGCTTAGAGACAATCTGTGTTGGAGAGTGTTCTAAACCAATGTGTGCGTACCAGCTGCAGGTCTGACAAGAAACATTTCCTCTCATGTTGTAGTTGCTGTTCAGTTGCTAAGTTGCGTCTGACTCTTTGTGACCCCACGGACTGCAGCACGCCAGGAATCCCTGTGCGTCACCAACTCCCGAAACTTGCTCAAATTCATGACAGTTGAGTTGGTGATGCCATCCAACCATCTCTTCCTCTGTCATGCCCTTCTCCATTTGCCTTCAGTCTTTCCCAGCATCAGGGTCTTTTCCAGTGGGTGGGCTCTTTGCATCAGGCGGCCAAAGGACTGGAGCTTTGGTTTCAGCATCAGTCCTTCCTATGAATGTTCATAGTCTTTCCCAGCATCAGGGTCTTTTCCAATGGGTCGGCTCTTCACATCAGGGGGCCAAAGGACTGAAGCTTTGGTTTCAGTGTCAGTCCTTCCTATGAATGTTCAGGACTGATTTCCTTTAGGATTGACTGGTTTGATCTCCTCGCAGACCCAGGGACTCTCAAGAGTCTTCTCTAGCACCACAGTTCAAAAGTGTTAGTTCTTCAGTGCTCTGCCTTCTTTGTGGTCCTACTCTCACGTCCGTACATGACTACTGCAAAAACCAGTAGCATTCACTCTCACATATGGGATATCAAGTTTGTTTTTATGTGTAGCCTGCTCTATTTAGGCTCTTGGTTCATACTTCATGTACACATGTAGTGTTGTATTTAAATCCAGCTTGAAACAGAGCTTTATCTGAAGAACGTTTTGCCCACCAGCAGCGTTCTATTCTCATCAGCACCGCTTACCTTGGTGTGACATCTCAAAACTCAGAAACTCTTACATGTGGATATGAATATCAATTTCATTTTAGCAGAGTTTAAACAGAGAAGTGACAAAATCAGGGTGCCTATTTTATCAGGTTTCTCCAGGCAGAAAATTGAAGCTTGATGTGGTTCAGTTGCTCAGTCGTGTCCAACTCTTTTCAACCCCATAGACTGCAGCATCCTGGGCTTCCCTCTCCTTCACCATCTACCAGAGTTTGCTCAAACCCATGTTCATTATCTTGGTGCTGCTATCCAACCATCTCGTCCTCTGTCATCCCCTTCTCCTCCTGCCCTCAGTCTTTGAAATTGAAACTGTTAGAAGGCAGAGTTCGTGCAGCTTATGGGCTCCTTGACTCAATTTTCTTTTTTGCAAGAATTTTCTTATGTATTTTTTCAAGTGTGACCTTCCATTCATATAATAGCAAATAACAGAATTAGAAGAAACCAATTTGAAACCACAGATTGTTTCTACCCTGACAATCTGAACACAAAGGAACCAGTGGGAAATGCAAAGATCTGGGGGCCAAGCTTTTAAGAATATCTTAGGTTGGCAAATACTAACTAGTGTGCTTTCCATTCAACAATTTTTATTCTGATAAAGAATATCCTTTTCTAGAAGGCTTCCAGTGTGGCTGCCTCCCACTGGAAGCGTGGGAGAAGGATCAGGGCACTTTCTGTCTGTCTTTACAAGACACTGGACTGAACTCTAAGAAATCCCTGGATCTTCCCTGGATCCTGACCACCACATGCCCAAAGATACTGGTAACATTTTTGTTTTGCCTGTTACAGTGTTTAATGACAAAGATTCTTTTGCTTTCCTGATGTGGGTGACATGTGAGGCCCAGTGATGAGTTTTTCTTTAAGAAACTTACTTGCTAGTTCCCACCTGAGGGTGAGGCTCCTGTCCAATGATGAGAGACCTGTGCCTCTGTTATAGCCACGCTTTCTGGTAAACAAACTCACTCAGAAGGACAACACAGATAGTGGAGTGCAGTTTATTACAGCGGCGGGCCCAAGGCAGAGTCTCCTCTTAGCCAAGGACCCCGACCAGTATTTGTGAAAATCTTGTATACCCCATGTGTACGTGTCCAAACCCTCCACCCCAATTCCCTTAAGACTTACATAAACAAAGGTAGGGTAAATACAACTACAATAAGCCTATCATTCACTTGTTATGTGTTCACACAGTCAATAATCAATAAGCCCACAGTGACATTCCAATGTCATTAATTCCAAAGTAATATTCCAATGAATAATCAATAAGTTTGTGGTCACGTTGCAACCAGTTATTAATCGATAAGCCTGTGATTACATCCTGATAGATACGGAAAAAGTGTATGACCTATCCGGAGACAGGGGTGACTATGGTATGTTTCCTCCTAGGCAATGAGTAACCTGGATGTGATCTTCAAGATTCCCCTGTGTGGAGGGTTAGGGTTAGGGCTAGAGGGTTAGGGTTAGGGCTAGAGGGTTAGGGTTAGGGCTAGGGTTAGGGTTAGGGCTAGAGGGTTAGGGCTAGGGTTTAGGGCTAGGGTTTAGGGCTAGGGCTAGGGTTAGGGCTAGAGGGTTAGGGCTAGGGTTTAGGGCTAGGGTTTAGGGTTAGGGCTAGGGCTAGGGCTAGGGTTTAGGGCTAGGGTTTAGGGTTAGGGCTAGGGCTAGGGCTAGGGCTAGGGCTAGGGCTAGGGCTTAGGGCTAGGGTTTAGGGCTAGGGCTAGGGCTAGGGCTAGGGCTTAGGGCTAGGGCTTAGGGTTAGGGTTTAGGGCTAGGGTTAGGGCTTAGGGCTAGGGCTTAGGGCTAGGGCTTAGGGTTAGGGCTTAGGGCTTAGGGTTAGGGCTTAGGGTTAGGGCTTAGGGCTAGGGCTAGGGCTTAGGGCTAGGGTTAGGGCTAGGGCTAGGGCTTAGGGTTAGGCTTAGGGTTAGGCTTAGGGTTAGGCTTAGGCTTAGGCTTTAGGCTTAGGGGTTAGGGTTAGGGGTTAGGGTTAGGGTTAGGGTTTGGGTTAGGGTTAGGGTTAGGGTTAGGGTTAGGGTTAGGGTTGGGTTAGGGTTTGGGTTAGGGTTAGGGTTAGGGTTAGGGTTAGGGGTTAGGGTTAGGGTTAGGGTTAGGGTTAGGGTTAGGGTTAGGGTTAGGGTTAGGGTTAGGGTTAGGGTTAGGGTTAGGGTTAGGGTTAGGGTTAGGGTTAGGGGTTAGGGTTAGGGTTAGGGTTAGGGTTAGGGTTAGGGTTAGGGTTAGGGTTAGGGTTAGGGTTAGGGTTAGGGTTAGAGGGTTAGAGGGTTAGGGTTAGGGTTAGGGTTAGGGTTAGGGTTAGGGTTAGGGTTAGGGTTAGGGTTAGGGTTAGGGTTAGGGTTAGGGTTAGGGTTAGGGTTAGGGTTAGGGTTAGGGTTAGGGT